GGTCGGAGACGTAGGTGCAGTGGTTGCACTGGCCGGGGCTGTCGTCGTCGGATCTCTTGGTGCAGTTGTGGGGAGGATTGGGGCTGAAGTTGTCGGAGCCCTGGTTGATGGAGCAGCCGTGGTCGGTGTCGGCGATGTCGTGGCTGGAGCAGTTGTGGCAGGAGCTGTAGTCGTCGGAGCTGTAGTCGTCGGAGCTGTCGTAGTCGGCATTGTTGATGTCGGGGCTGTGGTGGTTGGTGTTGTCGTAGTGGGTTCCGTCGTCATCGGCGCCTCGGTTGTTGCTGTTGGTGGTGTAGCCGTTGGTGAACGAGTTGTAGCTGTAGGTGCCATAGTTGATGGCGTCGTAGTTGATGGTGTCGTAGCTGTTGGAGCTGTGGTGCTTGGTACGGTCACATCTTCGGATCCAGTACCTGCATCAGGGAATCACTAAGAAGCCGTTGCCTTTTCCCGAGGAAGAAAATAGAGAGTCTAAAACTCACCAGAGTCCTGGGAGATAGCAAGCGTGAAGAAGAAGAAAAGGAGAAGTACACTCACGCTCCAGGGTCGTCTTGGACGACGTGCAGGCGCCATTTCGGCACCTGGGAAGGCGTCCTTCTGTGAGGAAGATCACAAAGATGTACCTAGATGGTTGCTGGAAGAAAAATGCTCTCGTTTTAGTTAGTGGCCAGTGGTATAAATACAAACACTCTGCAGATTCACGGTAGATATTTTACCGGCAAGTGAAGTGATCCCCGTCAGTAATTAAAGCAAGGGATCGCATTGTAGAATAGTAATACTAACCGTCTTGTTCATTAGCGCACATGCCATACGCTCAAGAGAGGTTCGGCCGCTTACTGTCCCTGACGCTGACGCGGTGCACACTTAATAATGTCGTCTACTCTGAGGATCATCTCGGCAGCCTCAGCAGCCGAGAACAGCACCTGCTTCTTGCTCTTCAGAGCCTCGCGAATGCCCAGAGCCTCCATGTCACCAACGCAGCCGGTGCGCATGTCCAGTCCAGCGGTCGTCTCGCCACGGTGATGAGCCGCACGCAGTTGAGTCACCAGCTCCGAACTGTCGAATCCGCCGTTATCGGCGATGATGCTCGGCAACTGACGCAGAGCGCGCGCGAACGCCTCCATGGCCAGCGCCTTCTTGCCAGGCACAGACGGCGCCTTATTGTCAATGGCCTGAGCCATCAGCACCTCCGTGCAACCGCCACCCATAACTGTCTGCGAGTACTTGACCGTCTGTGTTAGTACAGCTAGTGCGTCGTGCAGCGAGCGCTCAGCCTCGTCCAGCAGGTGCGAGCTGGCACCACGCAGCACAACGGAGCAGGCTGAGCCGGTCTTGACACCCGAGAATCGCAGCATACGATCCTCACCGATAATGATCTCTTCAATCAACTTACACTCGCCAAGCTGCACGGCGTCCGGGTTGTCGAACGTGGACGCGATCTCGCCGCCCGTGACTGCAGCCAGGTGCTCGATGCCGTCAAAATCGGCGTGCTCGATGGCCATGATGCCCTTCTCGGAGAAAATCTGCTCGGGGTAATTGTAGATGAGCTGGCGGTTGACGAAGCAGTTGATGCCAAAGTTGGCGATCTTCTCGACCTTGGCCTTCATCTTGGCCTTCTCGGCGTCCTCGATGGCCGAGACCTTGTCCATTGAGTCCACCTTGACGCGGGCGCCGTATATCTTGATCTTGTCCGTGTCCATGCCGGTGTTAGCCACGAGGATCTTGGCGTTCTCGACGCGCTTGGGCTGACCCACGCCGATCTTCTTGTCCAGGATGAAGCCCTCGTCCAGGTACGAGTCGCGCAGAGAGCCGCCGGCCTTCTTGATGATCTGAATGTAGTCCAGGTTACTGGATCCACGCAGACGAAGCACAGCGTCGACAGCGAGCTTGGCGAAGTGGTCCTTCTCGTACGTCAGCAGCTTGGAGCTGAGAGTCGTGCGTGCAATGTTCATGAGATCCTCGCGGAATTTGTCGGCATCCTGCGAATTGTCCTTGGCCGAGGCCACGAGCGCATCGTTGGCCGTAGTGAGTGCGATGCGCCAGCCGTCGATGATGGTCTGTGGGTGAATCCGCTGGTCGATGAGCTTCTCAGCCTCGCGCAGCAGCTCACCGCAAAGCACAGCGACGCTCGTGGTGCCGTCGCCCACCTCCTCGTCCTGCGTCTTGGCGATGTCCACGAGGACCTTAGCAGCAGCATTGTCCACGTAGACACTGCGAAGGATTGTGGCGCCGTCGTTGGTGACCGAGATACTCTTGTCGGGGCCTCCCATGGACTGCAGGATCTTGTCCATGCCCTTGGGGCCCAGTGTCGTCTTGACCATGTCGGCGATGGCGATGGCACCAACGAACGACGACATGCGAGCATTCTCGCCCTTCTCCACCTGCGACTCCGGGTCCAACACGGCCTGCTGCATGGTTCTAGCGTTAAAGAGAGGAAGAGCTGAGCTTTTGTATGGAGCTGCTTGCTTTTGGACGAAGATATGCCCCCTCCACACAACTTTCTCATGGAACGGAATACAAGTTTTGCTTTATTCTATATCATAGGTTACCAAACTAATTTTGACCTTCACGGCTATCAAAAACAGCTTGGATGCTTAATTCGGGACGCTCAGCTACCGGCAGGTTAACTTCCTTGCTGATAGTAGTACGAGAGCTACGACTCGAAGTGAGCACGGCATGACTGCGTGCACGGTTTTGGTCAAGTTATCCATGAGATTTCGAGTCTTATAAGGAGCTCTCCATCGCTGCGCCGCTTGCGATGTAGCGCTTTTCGTTGAGCTGCTGAAGTGTGACAGGGTCACACAGCACCTTGCGCTGAGGAAGTAGGCTTCCTCTAGAGTATACAAACTCTAAGTGAACGACCGTTCA